AACTTTCACATTTCTTGACTAAAAAGACACTTAAAAAAGTTTGCGACTGAATTAGCAATTACGATTTTATCTAAATTTCACATGTAAAAAAGTCTAATTTGATGTAACAGTGAATAGCACGTCTCATCTCCCACGACCGGTTGAACGACGAGATTTTTTTTTCATTAGAGTAGCCTATTCAAGTTCCTTGTGACAACTGAAACTGTCATCCGCAGCTCGTTTTTTCCTCGTCAAAAGTTTACAAAGCAGCAAGGTTTTGAGTACAGTATGATGTGACGTTTGCATTTGAACATGTAAACAGATATGAAACGAGGTACATAATTTCTTTCGTTCGACTTATGGTGAAGTGAACAAGGAGTGTGAAAAAATAAAAGACATGATGTCTGGAGTTGATGTGTGAAAAAATAAAAGACATATGCCTGGAGTTGATGTACAATGTGCGAGTGACTTGTTAATACTTGTTAATAATTAGGACAATTTTTGAAAACTTTCAAAAATTCAATCTATCTGTAGAAAAATTGCTCCAGGACATGGCTGCCACCACACCTCTTTTTTTCTGAAAATATAGGGTAGAGCCCTCAAAAATTTTGAGAATCATCCCAAAAGAATTTTCGTAGTGCGTGAGTGACGCCATGCACCTTCATAAAAAAATTTTTGTCCCCCACCCCCCTCCCAAACAGAAATCTTGGGTACGCCACTGTGTACAACAAAGAATTTATGTGAATGAAAGACTTTGGTATTTGCCACACCTATAAAAGTATAAACACTTCAGTCTAGAGTACTCAATCAAGGAAAAAAGCAAATTTTGAATGCTTTATAAGGAGTGATAGTTTTTTTACTCAAAACTGCGGGGTAAAACTGGCTATTTCTTCTCCAGAATATCCTTTCCACTATTCAGAAAAACCCGCCCAGCACGTATAAGATTGGGCAAGTGACCTTGAATAATTGACTTTTTGACTGGCCTTTTCATTCGAAATTTCCGTCCCACCCCGCCTGGACAAGGTTTCTCACACCCCAATGTTATCAATCATAGTTATAGTCAAAATCTCTCGGGCAGAATTGACCCTTCCATCCATTATCCCATCCAATTGACGAGAGACATATATAAGTAAGACCTCAAACTACAGCATCAATTAATCGCTCCCCAGGTGCTCTGAATGAACACAAGTCAAAATTTCTTTCCATCACGCCTTAAATGCCAGTTTGATCGGGTCCCGTATTCTGAAGAACTCGTCCCAAAGTGAAACGTTTTCGCATGGCAAGCACAGTCGATACGCATGCTATACATTGGTGTTGCTTGCTTCTTGTGAGGAAATGCGTGGCACCCTTTCAAAAAAATTGAAAAGTGATTTTTCTTTACTTATGCTAGGACTTCATATTCGAAATAGAACGCATACAAAGGCCCTAGGAGCGGAAACTTAAAAGTAGCGTTAGGTGGTCTTGCCTTCAGAGGCCATGCCTGAGTGATGTTTACTAAATAACAGCGCACGATGTGGCTTTCCGAATATGCAAAAAACCAAGTCCCCCTTAACTTTTCCAAATTTTACGAATTCCCCTTTGACCTTGAACCATAAACGTAAAAAAACCTAAAAAACGAAACGCCGACTAAAACAAAAAGTATAGTGTGGACCCCGGCTAGGTTCCCATAGGTACTTCCGCAGCGCGCACACAGCGCGCGTCCTTCTCAATGCCTCTCGCCTCACTCATGAGCAGTAGAGCATATTTATGCTCACAAAGGAGGAAAATGTAAAGTGGAAGCCTCTAGGTGCCCTTCGAAAGAGACATATGCAAAAATGAAATGCAAGCAACTTCTATGAATACCTCAAATTCAATCAATGGATGCATATTCCGAACATGCACTGATGGATAGGTTGTAATAAATATACGTAGAAAAATTAAAGAACAACAGCATTCTTAAACGTTTCTCTTCGTAAACGTAGAAACTAGAGTGGTCAAAGATTCCAAAAAAATGGATATTTCAGTAAACAAATGCCTATTGGCTTCTCGGAAGGCTCAATTTTGACTTGAGACACTGTCTACACCTTACACATCAAACCGAAAGGGACTCTTATTTTATAAAAGAAGCTTCTGAAAAATATTATCTTAATAACAAAATCTCAATTTTTCACAGAAAAAAGGGAAAACACAAGACCACTACACAAGATTGAAGCTCTTAGAACTATTAGAGCACGTATAATCTCGTCACCGGTCATCGCGAATTGTTTATACCTAAAATAAAGGGAATATAGTAGACCAAAAACAAAAAAAAAGAGAGAGAAAGGAAGATTTCCATCAGAAGCTAGGACAGGAGGCGCACTGAAGGCGTGCGTTGCGGGTGCGTCGCGCAGGTACCTATGGGAAGCTGGCCGGGGTCCACACTATAATTTAAGTGTGTTTGGCCACAAAAACGACATCCCCTTTGCTTTTGCCTCAAAATTATCCAGCTTGTTCACAAGCCAAATGTGCTGAGCCCTTAATATACTATTTCCAAGCAGATAAACGCCGTTCTCGAGCACCTAGAAACAACTGAATTAGAGTGGGATTTTCAAACTCCACTTCCCACATAGGACTACCTTCCAGATCAACCTGGACTATCCAGTAATCTTGGTGTAGCATTAATCCACAAACGGCCACATCACCAACTCCCTGCTAGAAATAAAATAAGTTTTTCTAGCTACTACTAAAGCCATCAAGTTCAACATCATTTGCAACAATTAGCAGACTGAAGCACTGACATTTCTTCTACTGATAATTGTCCATTGCGAGATTAGCTACTGTACTAATCTAACTAAAAAAGTATGCAATTGCATACTTTATGCTCCATTAGTCGAAGAAGTTGACACATTTCTTCTAATTACCAGTTTGATTGATTACTGCAGCAATTTCTCATTTCTCATTTCAGTTTTTTACTGACTAATTCTTGTCTTGGTTACAAATGGCTTCCAAAATTAGGAGACGGTACGATACAAGCATAGCGCAATTGCAGAAATTTTCATTCTAGCAATTCGAATATACATGCGACGGATTTTGTTCCTTTTCTCCCATTAACTTGCACTATTCGAGCCAGTATAAAAGGTTTGACGCGAATTCCTTTCGAAATCCACTCTATATGCATATCATAAAATTCTATGACATTTCATCGAAGCAAAAAAGTATTGTACAATTGCCGATTGCACGCGAACTATAAAATTCAACGACTACCCGCGTATTTTACAGCCTTTCTAGAAATACTGTCTAATGCAAGATTTCTTAGCGTTCATTTACGAAAGGCAATGGTGATTACTCTTTATCCTGTTACACTTAAGAAATGGATTATTCAAGAGCTTCGCGCACGGAATTAATAGGGATAAAAGTCTAATCGGATTTAAAGCCTATCAGTGTAATCATGTTGGATTAGAACATCAAGACGGAAGAGGGCAGTGGAGAAAAAAAGCGCATTGCAAAGACAATCGTTTACATAGAAAATGCAAATCATTAGCTTGGCGGGTAGTTCCCGATGCACCTTTGCTCTTTACTGCCACTTTACCATGGAAATTTTTTTGAGTACTCAAAAAATATCACTAAGCTTTCCGTATCGATTCCTACGATGCACAATGGAAAAAAGTGATTTTTTGAATGTTTTTGCATTTATTAATACCTTTTCCTCAGTGGCGGACCAGACCGGAGGAGGGGCGCCCTTTTTGAAAACTTAGAGCTGACAAATATGTGCAAGTGACTTATTCATACTTGTAAATGATTTGCATATTTTTAAACTAATTAAATGCAAATTAGCCTTGTAAAAACTTTTTGTGGACGATTATGGGCCCGCAAACTTTGGAATTTGGGAGTATCAAAACGTCACTACAAGAGCAGTGCCGGAATAATTCCAAATAAAAAAGCATAAGAAGAGACAGAAAAATGTTTACAGAAAAAAAGAAAAAACTTCGAAAGATTTTTTTTCCGAATATTCCACCTTTGAATTATAAAAAGCTGCAGGGTTGCAATGCCACGTCGAAGGTACAGTGTCAAGATACGTTTCAAAAAATGTAGAGATAGAAGAGGAAAAAAATTTTAAAAAATTGAAAATCTATACGTTTGATGTGTGGATTTGCGCGAGTATGCAGATGCATGTACCTTGTGACCTCTATTCAACAAGCAAAAAGCTGGATATTTTTGGAATCAAAATGAAAAAGTGCAGCAGAAATTATTTGCGAACGTCATACATTCTCATAGATAATTTAGTTTAAATGCTTATTGCACGACTTTGTAGGTCCCGCTATTTTCTCATTATGGATGTTGTCTTCCCCAGCCACACAACTATTAGTTTTTGCTCGTATGATGTTTCACCGAGGTGGTTCCAACTATCGAGTGCGAGAGAGGGATCGAGGCTGAGGCCGCAAGTGGCTTGAGAGGATCGGAATGGCCGCCTGACGGGTGGTGAAGGGGGGGGGGATGGAGAGTCTCTGTGAGAGGGGTGACACGTCATGGAGGCCAAGGTATACGCTGTTTTGTTCAGTTCTCTTGAATACGACGGCTCTTATCTCAAAATGTGACTCGGCACGCCATGAAGAGCGAAGTTACGAGGAAGAAAAGGAGAGAAATGTGGAAATCCGATACCTCGAAGACGTTTTGACAGCACTTCCAAAGGCGAAAAAGCACTTTATCGAAAGAATGAGAAAATGCGAGACGAATGGGAAAAAGCTCGGCTGCAGAATTGGCGCTGAGAAAAAGCCAGCAGCACAGGTCAAGCTTTTGCGGAATAGAGCGTGGATTTCTTCCGGAAATACAAAAGATTTGCAACCATTTATTACGCAAGCTTTGCCGCTCTCTATAAAGACCCCTAGGTCATCTTATCCATGTACAGTTAGCTATAAAACGTTTTTTTCTCCAAAATGCCCCAGTATCATTTCAAAACCCCGAGCTAGAGCGCAGACATGCAGAGTACGGGGCCGGCCAATGGTCAGAGAGGCAGAGTGGGCCGACACCCCGGTTGGGCCTCTGCATTCACATCCATATGCCCTTCTAGACGGCCGGTCCTTCTCGGACTATGACTTTATCCCATATGGATAGAGTCATGAAGCAAAGCTCTACCACACGGTAACCTCCACTACTGATTTCTACTGCATTTTCCCCACTTTTCCATCGGGATTTCCCCAATTTTCCCGCAATGCTGCGATTCTTTCGATGCAGAAATCCCACTTTTTCGCAGAATTTATGCCAAAATCTGGTTGTACCATGTCCCAGCATAACATAAGCTTGACTAGCCATCCGTATAGAGGTTGATTTTGGCTTGCGTGTGTTTATGTATGTGTGTGCGCTCGTCGGGGGCCTTCAATAAGAGCGCGAGGCGCCGAATCAATAGGCCAGCAATTATTGTAAAATACCGGAGCGAAATTCGGTCCGGTTCTGATCATTTCCACTAGAGAGTGATGTAGTCGAGTTGTCCCCACACCGAGCACAAATGTCATGTCATTGTCGTTTGTGAAATTGCGGCACCGAAATTGTGCCCCTAATATGAGAGTGAGTTGTAACACAAGTTTTGTGTCGATCAGACATTACTGGCTTGGGCAGTGTGAGATATCATAAAGGTAAATTGCCTCTGTAGATTGGCTTCATGGTGCTTAATACGTTTGGACCAGTTTTTTCTCAAAGGTTTTCGGCGTTAATGACCCACATTAGCATTTTATTGCATCATTAGCAGTTTGGAACGCTATGCCTTTCAACGAACATGTAACCCCATACAGAGATAACTAAAAATGCACCAACTAGGGTTAGTTATTGGACTCACTTCACCCTTTTTTTGAAAACCAACCTTATTTACCTAAATTTTGGCGACCGTATAGAACCTGCAACTTTTATTATCCATCTGCGAGTAGGGTGTTTGAAGAACGGCATTGCACCTATTGTTTGACATGCTTGAACATGTTTCCTCACGAATTTCATGCAGTAAGTCATCCAAAACGCATTAAACTACAAGTATGAACTTGTTCATTAGATGTACGCAAGGCGTTTTCGGCTTTCTAGTCTTCCCAGAAGGGATGATCAGCCTTTTTTACTAACTTTGACGAGCTTTCATGGCATTTTTGTGCAATCTATACAAAAAATCAAGTTGTTAGACAAAACCAGCCTAGAGCGTTCGTCCCAAAATTGAAAAAAAAGCTAAGTGACGGAAATTTCTCAAGAACTCTTCAGTAGGGAAGGTCGGTACAAATTCTTGACGCGCTCTAGTGGAGTTTGCAAGGATTAGGTGTGAACTCGTCCGATTAATCCTTTGTCAACTTTATTTTCTTCTTTAAACCTCCATGCGTGTGAAAGAAAATCTGTGGTCATTGCATTCTCACTATATTCACATGTTTAATCTATTGTCACGGGTTTTCTTCTTGAGAGCAAAACAATGTCGTGATCGAGTCCACAGCGATTTGAATTCGCAAATCTCAATGCCTTCGCTGCAGTCAAGGTCTCATTTCATGTCATAGTTTTTCCTCTTGCGCATGCTTTTCCTTCCTGCTCATGTCTTCGAGTAATGGCTGGCTTAATTTGAGCTTGTTTTCGACATGGGCGGCCATTGCTATGCGGACGGCAATCGCTCAACGACGAATGAGCTTCGGATGTGGGTGAAGGCTTGAGGCCATACTTTTTTCAAACTCTCAGCCTTACATTTTGTTTGCGCTCAGTCTTGCATTCTTTAGAGTTTTTAATTCCATCTTTTTTCTCGTTGTGCATGTTGTTGGCCCTCTTTGCTAGCAACCATAAGGGAATTGTTCAACATACTCATGGTGGAAGACATATTTTGGTAAAACAATATTCTTGACCCCCCCCCCTAAAATGCACACATTATTTTACTAAACTTTCTGTGTAATTGATTCGCGCCCGACCGCCAAGCTGCGGCGCGGGCCGGCGCTGCGGGCAATCGCACGTCGTCGACAAAATCAATAGCCTATTTGGCGAATTCGCTCGCGCATCGCAACTCATAGGCATCGGGACCGCCTCTCGCTTTGAACGCGCTGCATGCGCTTCTTTTATTTTGCTCAAAGCGGGATAGAATAATGTCAAGCAAGTCCCTGTGACGTCCTGATGGGTGTATCCTATGTGCCCAGAAAAGTTCCCATGTGAACCAACATGCGTACATGGTGCGACGCTGCTTTTTGCTCTTTTTGACACGTTTCTCCTGAGATTTCAACAGAACTGCCTGAAATTAACACGTTCAAAAGAGAGAAAGGCAGCGAGATGGCTTGGTACCTACAGTCGTTTTTAATACATACTGGTCTTTTTCTACCGTATGCCTTCCAGCCTCAACATGACGTGGATTGGTGAGGCGCCGCATCGCTTTGGGCTTGCGCCACGTTGCTCTTCTCGCCACGCCGCGCCAAACGAGCGTCCGTGCGTGGCGCAGGCCCGAAGCGAGGCGGCGCCGCACCAATCCACGTCATGCTGAGGCTGGAGGGCATACGGTAGAAAAGAACAGTACGTATTGAAAACGACTGTATGTGAATTCTGGGGAACAAACGATCCTTAGATTTATCATTATGCTGAGCACGAACATCATGCCCATCTGTGATCGCGCCTTATTGTTCAGGATTTCGCGACGTGGTTTTGGCATACACGAGAGGCGTTACTGTGATAAGTGGATATGATGAGAAACAAGAAACACGTGGAATAGTTTTCTCAAGCAAAATCCAACAGGTATCGTGCATTCACAGAATTGTTGCCGTATGAACCATCAACTTGGCTACCTTTCGATCGTTTTAACACGTTATTCCGGCAAATTTGAGGCGCTTATTCGAAGTTGACATGTTAAAACGATCGAGAGACAGCCACTTTGATGATTTATATGGGAACAATTCTGGGGATGCACCATAAGGCCTAGGGCATACCTCTCGCGATTTCGCGAAATCGCCACATCCTCGCGACTTGGCGTTTTGCCAGATGTCTAAGGATTGAGCATGCGAGGCTCTCAGATGCATGGATGCGTAGATTACGTAAATTGTAACAAACATAGCAAGTCTGGCCCAAGCAAAGTGCGTTTACGACCAGCTATGGAGAGTCGTTGCAGTGCCTCGCGCGGCGCTAAAAATCGTGTGAGGTATGTCTTAGGCCTAAAACACGATAGCTTAACGGTAGGCTGTACTCGTATGGACACCAAAATTCCTGCATGTGGCGAAGCACTTTGCAGCCTCTAATGTAAAGTGGCTGCACGTCAGGAGGTACGCCGCGCGCGGCGGCCGCTCTTCCGCACACGCCGCGCACAAATCTTGGGCCTCCAAAGCTCCGCGCCAATAGAGATTCCGGCGGCAAAAACGGGGTGTGAGGGTGGAGGCAGATACATGACTTGATGCTATAAGTAAGACTGCGCCAGAAGTGCTGCTGTTGTAAGGGCTGGAGTACGTTGCGGCGTCGCTTCGCGAAAAATTCGCTCCGATCGTCTCCTGATCGTTTCCCATGTAATGTCCTCTGCCCAATTTTGGCATATCCAGTTTTGACTGCGCTCATATCAATTCATCACTCATCGTTGGAATCAGCATGTCTGATAACCCGCTTTTGGTTCGTGTCCCAGCTTTATCCTCATAAGCACACGCCATAGTTAACCCACGTCCCAACTGATCCACATCGCTATCGGTATTGGTCAAATTAGTGAAGTGACTATCAGCGAAGCGGATGTCCACTTGATTGACTCATTTCCTCCACTTCGCTATTGGTCAGTTCACTGGCTTTACCACTAACGAAATGAGTGGAGTGGATCAAGCGGATCAAGTGGATCAGTTATGGCGTGTGTCATAGTAACATCGCCTTGCATGAACGGATAGCGTTGCGGTGGTGCGTTTGGGACGGATCTCGCAGCACAGACCATATCCGTCATCAGCAAAGTAAAATTTTGAAATTTTGGTGGCAGCATACAGTTGAATCATTTCGTACTTTGATAAACCTAAAACTTTGAAGTTGTGGTCTATTTTACTACCCTGCACCTCTTTTCTACTCGATAAAGGCTGTGCAAGTGCGACTTGTGCACAATGGGACAATCATAGATGCGCCTTTTTGACAGAGATGTATTGCAGCATTGCACAATAACATTCTGAAAAGACTACGTTTGACAGTGATATATTGCATTCTTTGACTACCGGCTGCGTGCTGGTCTCTTAGGCACTTTCGTGCAATTATTGCGTGTTTGCAAATTCATGGTGCTCAGAATGGATACAGATTGATCAGTCAGGGACGTCCTGTTGACGCTCATACTGCTGCTTGGGTGGTTTATCACCCGCCTAGCCACTTCGCTGCTCCCATAGCTCTTGTACCTACCCTTTGCTTCAACCAGACTGCGGCTGGAAGGTGGGCTTCGTGACTTAATTAAGGCTAGAAAATGATCAGAGAGCATGTCCGCGAGGGAAGCGCAGACTGCGTCGCGGACGCGAGAGTCGCCTTCCAGCAGCCAATCTGGTTGAAGCAAAGGATACAGTTTGTGCCAATCCTGTTCAGACCAAAATACCTCTTCCACTGCTACACTGCTAAAGTGAGCACACGCCACATTTATGATTATATTGACCTGCAAAGGGGCTTCGTCTCCAATCTTGGTGCATTCGCTGTCGGTAGAGGATGATATATGCCTTGTCGATGTCCGCCCGCACGGACAGGGCCATGCTGCAATTGTAGAGCTGCGCGGTGTTGCAGCAGATGCCCGTGCAGGACCCTTCCTGTCGGCGACATAATTCCCTCAAGGGTTTGGGTGATTATATGTTGCCGAAAGATGGTCGTGCGGACATCCTACGGCCTTCCCTCAGGCTGCCTTCATACTGATCCGGAAGTTCGAAAACAGTTCAAGATCAGTATGAACGCAGCCTCACCACTATGAGATCCGGGAAAAGCCGTAATCTCATTCTAATCTTTGTATGGTGAAAGGTTCGAGACGAAAACTGGGTATATCCTGTTTTTCCCTTTTTATTTATCTGCAGACTACGGAAAGTGATTCCCACGGCCAACACAGATTTGTAGCAGCTGTCCGCTCGGGGTGGGGCCTATTCGCGACATTAGTCCCCCCCTCTAGGTAACATCCACGATTGCTGCTACCCCTGATCTGCGTCTTGGACCTGCGGGACGCATAGCTACCCTCTGTACCATTAGTGATGGTATAGGCCGTCCGCGCAGGGCGCGGAGAGTGCGCAAGGTGTGTATTGCGCGTTACTCCTCTTTCTTCGTGCTCTCTCGCTGCCTGTTTTTCTCTGCGCTTCTTCCACTCGTGAACTGCCTTCAATGTACGCAACAGCGTTGCTCTTCGTGCGCAGCGCGGACGGCCTATAGCTTGCGCTGGTCAGGTCTCGCGCGACCGTCTCGTCTGGACTCTGCATCTACTTTGCAAGTATACTCTACAGTCTTTTTCATGCTTAATTAGCGATTGGAGCTCGGCCCTTCACCACGCTCATGCCGTATGAGGTGCAGAGCGCAGGCGAAGCGGTCGCGCGGGACTCGAGCTGCATGAGACCCTCTCACATGAAGTAGAACTATAGACTCTGCCTGACTCTTGAGCTGACTAAGGTGGGGGGGGGGACGGGAAAGCATGAATAATACTGTATTCGCCATCAGGGAACCGGAAAAATGCTTAAAACGCAAAGAGAAACGAAGAAACCAGGTTTTTCAGCCTAAATTGGGCGTGCGCGACGCAGTAACCAAAGCTCATCGAACTTCACGATCATGCAGAGCTCTATAAAACATTGGCAATATGCAGCTGATGACGATCACTTCCAGTGCTGAATCAAAGTGAGATAATCCTCTGACCGAAATTCTGCGAATTCCATTGGTCCGCTCATAAAGCCTTACTGTGCAAAAAAAGGCATCCATTTAATTCGCCAAAGGTAGCGTCCACCCAAGGGGTTTGGGAGACTACAAACTGCAGGCGCTAGGTCTCCAACTGAACGCTTAAAGGCAGCGTCCGGGCAAAAGCGAAACTGTAGCGTACAGGGGTTCTCGGCTTGGTGGAGCTCTTGCCCAAGTGGCATTGCACTACTTTGCTTCTAAAGCGAGAAAACCGCTTCAGAAGTGGCGACAGGACCGCCCCGGCGACGTGCCCGCCCCTTCAATCGATAGCCAGAGTACGTATGTTGAGCACGCGACTCTGCGTCTTAACCTCGGCGGCAAGCGTCATTATTCAAAATCAACTGCTTCTGGAAAAGCCTTTTTTCGACATCTTCGTTCTCTGCAAGCTCTATTTATGTAATCAACTGGAAGGATAAGGCCAGGTAAGCGAAAAAATTTTGTTCGAGATTTTGCCCGGACGCTGCCTTTAAGTGAAGCTGCAGATGTCGGTTTCGAAGGGAGAAGCAGATGGTGTCGCTCGCGGCGGTGGTGCGTGGAAAATATTACGGTCATGCGAATCGCCCCATACCTGGGGTTTTGACGCTGAGACCGAGAATCCATGTTAGAAAGCGCGAAAACGGTAAAAACAAGCGCCAAAATCTTGCAAGCTGAATTTGGAAGAGTACAGTAATCCGCCAATACTGAGACGCAGAATTGCTACGAGACCTTTGACTATGGCAGCATGCGTACAGCAAGTTTCGACCATTTCTAGGTGGAAATTGGATTGGCGGGCGTCCGCCTCGCAATGATTCGCGCCGTTTCGCAGCTACAGTACATATCGTGCTGAGAACCTTTGCGTCTCATTCTCCTTAGTCTTGGCAAAATGCCAAGGCTATGCGTTCGCGCTGCTCCACGTACAATGTTTCGTCTAATCCGGGTGAAACAAACTATAGTCTGGCTCGAAATTTCTTGCAGTCATAACGAAGGGGGGTTTCTTACTTTTCTGGAAACATCAAAAGTCAGTTTTCTGTTTGTTGTCTGTGACCACCCACGTTGAGGAGCCACCATCAGCGCCTCTACCTTCTTAATCTCTTTTTTCGGAACCGGTTTCGTGCAGCGGGCTTTGGGCGCTCACTTAAAGAACGGCCATAGGTTGCCGGCAACGGTTGTCGGTGTTGTCGAGGTTGCCGGTCGTTGTAGGACCTCATGATAGCCTCCACGTTTCGCGCCCTCTCTAAACTGTCTCTGACCCTGACAGGATCGACAACATCGACAGCACCGGATGGAGGACTAATATGTCCCCGAATGTGAAGAGTCCCGCGCGGATTCCTGCAGAAACGGATGTCCGCGCATGTATAGGCTGTACCAACCAGCATCGGTTATGCGACGTCGCGTCTGCGGCAGCTTGCGACGATGCGGGTGACGCGTGCGAACTCTGATACCCGCGAGAGCACGTCGCATGCGACCGTGCGTTCTCGCAAGGCATACCAGAGCGGAACCGATGCTGGTTGGTACAGCCTATACAAGGGTGCGTATTTGTCGCAAATGACCGCTTGAACCGCCCTTTTTTGGCGACATATAGCTACCCACCGTTGCCAGCAACCTATGGCCGTTCCTTTAGTTGCCCGCTATGGTACCCAATCCCATCACCCCAAATTTGAGTGAAAAGTGACTTTGAAAGCAAAAAGATCCGCGGAAGCCTCTTGAACAGTACGGGCTTAGAATAGACTTGCGATATGTGACTGCACGTGTACTTTACTTGAGTAAGCTGGTTTAACATAATTTGTTGTTATGAGTGACAGTATTATTATTTGGTTATTTATCAAAACCTTGGACATTTTGCGGCACTATTCCGCTATCCGGGCCTCAAAATTTTTTGTCATGAATTTCGCTCAAACTTGGTCCAGGGGGTTATCTGACATGCTAATTCACGAATATCACGTTTTTATCGCGTGAGGACGCCTTCCTGTGCGGTTACGGTGGGTATACGGTAGGGGGCCAAAATCACGGTTTTCGCTGAAACTTGGTCTAGGGGGGTTATCCGGCCGGCTGATGCCAAATGTTCACATTGGTTTTGAACCGTAGCGTCATTTTCTCGAGTTACGGTAGCTACACGGTAACGGATGTAAAATTGCCTGCAACGGGTGTACGGCGATTCGGACAATCGTGAAGCTTTGCATACACGACCACCGCCGCGCGCTACACATCCTGCTGCGGCTTTTGTCTAAGCAAAGCACAGGGGAAGGATACATTTGCCTATTTGTGATTTTGACCCCTACCGTAAACCCGTAACCATGCAGGGAGACGTTTTGTGCAGAGAAAGTGTGACATTTCCAATCAGCATGTCGAATAACCTCTCTGTGCGAAGTTACAGCGGTTTCGAGATTTTGACGTATGGATACCCACCGTAATCCGAGAAAATGACGCTACGGTACACAACCAATATGATATTCAGCATCAGCGGGGGCGGATAACCCTCCTGCACCGATTTTGAGCGAAATCCACAATTTTGTCCCCATATCGTACACCTACCGTAACCCTGCAGGCAGGCGTTTTCCTACGAAGAAAATGTGATATTTGTGATCAGCATATCAGATAACCCCCCTGGGCCGAGTTTGAGCGAAGTCCATGACTAAGAAATTTTGGAGCCCGGATAGCGGAATAGCGAACATTTTGCTATAGTCTCCAATTGTCCTTCCATGCATGATAAGCTAGTTGGATAGGAGACCATATGTCGCTGATAGGCTCCGCCCCGCGCGGACAACTGACATAAATCTGCGGTGCCTGCAATGTGTGGAGCTAGTGCCAGGGTCCGGCACAGATCGTCTGGAAGCGGGCTGGACTTCGTTTTTGAAGCAAACAGCAAAGAGGATATCGTTTTCGACGAGTCGGAACCGAGCACCAAGAATAAGCGCCAATTAGTCGAACACAAGCTTTTCGAACAGGTTATCACACGATTGACATGCTCTATCGTGCATGGCGAAAAGTGCGCGCGATTTGAAAGCAAGGCTTAAATAAACAAATTGCTTGTGTAAAGCGCACACAGAGGCGTATGACACCAAGATTGAAGTGTATGTATAGAAAATTATTTGCGAAAGTATTATGTGAAAACATTTGGAAACTTATGTGAAGTAATACCTTTTCCAAAATTAGATCGTCTCCAGACGGTCACCAGACGATCTGAGATCGTCTGGAACATATATTTTCGTCATTTCACATAAGTTTCGGATCTTTTTTTAGCATGGACGGTTCCCCGGGCCTGAGCATGAAGACATTTCCATTTGCCTTTCCTTTGTTTTTTTTTTTTGCCTTCATTTCTTCTTGCTTTGTTAAATATCGCGCTCTAATGCCAAAGTATTGTGCATGCGTAGTATTCGCTCCAATTTGGATTTTCACTCTTATCTTACGTCTTTTCTTTCAGACTAGTAATCTTTCTTGTTTTCATCTTTTTCTAAGCAGGTAGGTCAAAGGGGACTTCGTAAAACTTCCGAAAGTCAAGGGAGACTTCGTTTTCAAAAACCCTAGAAACCTCTCGTGCCGGGTCCTGGCTGGTGCTAATATCGCAGCTGCGCGGGACCACCTCTTTCCGGCGTCATATAGTCCTCCACCCCCGTCTAGCTTTGAACGAAACGTTCATCGTCGTGGAGCGACGCGAACGCGCGTTCGGCACCTGTCATCGCTAGAGCGCGTCAAGTTCAGGCACCCGAGGCCCGTTGTCAGCTACGTTGTGCTTACCATGGGCGCATTCGCTTTTGTCCGGGAATAGATTACTCTCAAAAAATTACAAGAAAAGAATATAATTGCTCTTAATAAGTGTTGTCATCTCCTTTTGATTTTATAGCGCTTCGAAAAAACTGTCAGCCTTTAGATCCAGTTGATGGTGTGCGTCATGCAGTCATCCATACATTGCAACAGCCTATATTTCGCACTTCTGTCGCTAATTAAGAAAATGAATTTTTTTGATTTTTGTTATTTCGTACTTAACATTCCCTTCCTCATTCCCTCTTTAATCAGCGACGATAAGCGTTTCTCAGCGATTTTGTGGTGGCGACATTTATGTTCACAAGTACTTGACTGACATAATCTGATCTTTACTTTTTAGATGTTGATCGAAGGGTGATTGTATCGTCGCGACGAAAGAAAAGATCGCATTCAACGTACGGGTATCGGTGGGGGACGGCGGGAGCTGTGACTTCACTTCAGAACAACACACGTCGAAATGCTACGACTCGCACGCGAGCTCAAGCATCAGAGCATCTCAAAACGAGATGACTCGTCTGAAGAAGATGAACTTCGGAGTGAACGACGTCGCAGCGCTCGGCTCAATCCCAAGCAAGATCAGGTACGGACATTCTTCGCATAAAAAGGCGGAATATCATGATGTGCCCGGCACACATTGCTGTTTTTCTTGCGGTAGTCAATATCGCTGCACTTGTCACTTCCAAATGTTGCTACACTTGACGGATTTATTAGCGCAGACTTCGTGCTGGCACTCTAATCAAGACCAATATGAAAAACAAGTTGATGTGTCAGTGTTATGGTAACGGGATTTATGCGGCTTTTTGAACACCCATATTAAGTATTTACAACTGCTATAGTGTGTGCTCCAGAAAGTTAAGTCGTACATTCTAGGAGTGGGGCGTAAGTTGAGCAGAACTTTTCTGGAGTGGGGGAGAGGTGCGGGTGAAGAAAGGGGAGAGGAGAGAATTTTAACATGAGATTTCTTTTCGTTCGGTGGACGGTATGAATACATTTCGTCAACCTGCATAGTGAATTTTTTTTCGAAGTTCAACTCGCCGTTTGATAATTTTCAGAACTATGGATGCTGATTCATTGAAGGCAGCGTCCAGGCAGATCTGGACCTATGGGAATTTTACGTGGAAAGACTTTTAGGGACCTACTAAGGCGCTGCTCAAGCGGCAGCGCAGGTAGTGCTCTAGAGGCTGAGATTTTCCCCTCAAAACTGGACCCCGCTATCGTATTCGCCTGGATTCATGGCGGTTTCGCGCCAGAACCCACGCTTTGCGCCATGAATCCATGCGAAGTACGATTGCGGGGTCCAGTTTCGAGGGAAATATCTCAGCAGTTAGAGCACTAACTAAGCTGCCGGTTGGACAGTGGCTTAGTTGGGGCCCCAAAATTACTATCCACGTGAGATCCCCATGTGTCCAGACTTGCCTGGACGCTGCCTTCAAATGAAGGTTATACCTCGACACAAAATCGCTGTTGATGCTCAGCAAATCAGTTTTTTTTTGACATTATGTTGAACTTAACCTTCTTCATATGATGCGGTCAAACGAAGAAGCATAGATAGTTGTTTGGACTGATACTGCCTTCCTCGTGATCAAAGGCTAAATACTGTTTATAAGAAGTTATGAGAATGTGGCTGTCAGCTAAAAAGAGTTGTTTGAGCTTGGGGCAATGATTTGACTCATATAACTTGAAAGATGCTTATGTCAGTGGTGCGCATTGCATGTGATAGGAAATCTAATTTAAAAATCTGAAACGTGCAGTTTTGCTTTTTTGTGCAGACGGGTCAGCGGATGAAACAGTCCTTTTTGTATGATCTTAACAACCTTGGTGAATAATTTATGGCGCATCTTGGCAGGTAATGTTCTGTGATGGGAGCTTTCATAAGTGTGTCTCTAGTGCTATTTTCTGTGGATGTTGGCTGCAAAGGCGGCTCATTTTGCGGCATTTTGGTTAGGAGTTCGATTAGAGCCAGTCGTTCCTCGCCTCCTTTTTTACCTTTTTTCAAAATCCCTTCTTCTTGTAGAATTTCGTTGATTGGACTTCAGTAAGAAACGATATTTGTGTGGTATCCTCCAGAGATATGATGAACTGTCGAATCTCATTGTTTGCAGTTTGCTAGAATCCTCCAGTCCATTTTTGTTGCCATAGTGACATCCATTGAAATCTATCGTGGATAATTTCAGTTTTACGAATGTCAGTCATAAAGTTGAGCACATCATTTTATGTAGCGCAATCCTCGTTTTTCATGCAATCCGATATGCAGCTGCACCGCTGCTGTCACATTTGCGCCATGGCATATGTGGATGATGTTCGCGTTTCGGTGACGGGTATCAACCCATTGACGATTACGACACTTAGTTCTGCAAAACTGTCTCATGGGACCGGTTGAGTTGCACAACTGTAGACTAATAACCCTAGTCGTGGCAGAAAGGCCAGGCTCTTTTCCATTGGACAAGAGTTCTTTCAAATTGGAGATCTGTAAGAACTTCACCGAGGCACAACAGTCGATCCGCTTGATCCACTTGATCCACTTCGCTATTGGCTTAGTTAGTGAACTGACCAATAGTGAATATTGCTTCGCCATTGGTTTCATTGGCTTGAACAATAGTGAAGTGGATGAAATGGATCAAGCGGATCAAGTGGTTTGAATATAGCACCTGCCTATGATGTATGGAAGTTTGGACGCATTTAATTCCATGTTCTTTTTTTGGTGCTTTCATCCAGTCAGAAACACACAAATTAGATCTGCTTTGGGTGTAGTCTTCGCAGAAATCACATTCACAGTTTTTGGTAGAAGGTGGAATTTCGTAGCGACTATAGCCGACTAGATTGCAGAAATAATCTAGCCACTGAGAAAATACCATTTGCGCGATGATGATGACCTTCGTAGAAAGAACTAGTGGCACATTACTTTCCATCGAAATCGACATTCGGCTGTCGAACGTACATGCCGATTGCTTCTAGAAACTTGTAGAGAATTCACTATTTACCTCGTACATTCGAATGTTGAACACGAAAAATCACGAAATTGCTGGGTAAGGAAGTCAGCGAAACGTATCATATTTTAACGTCCTGAGCATGTGAAGTAATCGTTTCGTAGATTAATACAAGATCGTCCACTTTTCTTCAGATATCCTATGGATTATTATATCACCTATCTGACTGGTCCCGTCATGCACGTTTGGAATGACTCCTTCGTAAATTAAGAAGTCATTGAAGCGCGCACAGAGTGTATGATTATCGTCTCCGGGTTCTTTTAACTTTTTGCAATTCTGTCACGTAATCAAGAGTTCATCTGAGCATTATATCTCAGTTCCTGACAAAGCTCCGTCAGAAAAAATGTCCTTCCATCCATCACCATAGCGAATTGGCTCGCCGAAATGTCTGCCATTTCGTACGCGGGTTTAGAAGTGAGACACTAAAACGAGTGATGAATGAAATGCACTTTTCACTACCATCTGACGTGAATATGTGGGGAGATCTGCTGTAAATTGGCGTCATTATGTCTGATCCATGTTCATGACTGGGATGGGCTTACGGTGTCATTGTTAATCTTCTGGATTTGATTGAGTTCAAAATGAGTTAGAGTCGATTGTGCTTGATGGGGGACTCAATACCCACTTTGCATTGTCCACTCAATTTGATACGCTTCAAACATTTTGCAAGATCCATTAGTATAAAAAGCTATATTCTTTTGGATTTATAGTCTAATTTAGGAAGCCATTCGAGATTCGGGGACGGAATCCGATGAAGATGAGCTGGAAGAAATTGCGCAGAGTAAGCTAATCACAGTCATTTTATTTTTTCGTTGTGACAACAACACTAGATTTGCTGCTTTCATCTCTTTTTGTCCTATGCAAGTTTGCTATGTTTACACACTTATTTGCAAAGTGTCTTTCGTAAGCTTTCCAGATTCAAAATGATAAGTACAATTTAGAATCGCTTACAGCGAAAAATATGGAAGCATTTCTTTCGGGAAGTCCACCAGCGCTCTCGAGCTCTCCACCAACAGTCAGTGACATCGATACTGAAAGGTAAGATTACGGATAGATCGTTTTTCTACTATGTAACCAAGCTTCGTATGTTGTATCAGTGTAGAAGCTTAAGAACTTACAAATTCTGGTAATGTAGGGTGTGCTTTTACAAATCGAAAGTGACAACTTGATAAGCGTTTGGCTCGTCTAGCAGTCTTGCCGTATACCAACTTGTATCAGAATTATAATGTACAAGTCTCATGTTTTTGCGAACCACGACTTGTTTCTTCTTAGTGCAAACATGATGAGGCCTGGAAAACTTATTATTTCTTTATTCAATTAGACGTGGAAGTGCATCTGTGGTAAGAGACGATTATTAGTTTGGACTATGAGATTATGTTCAAGTGCCAACTAGAATGGAGGGGCTGGTGCATGCATTAGTATACGAGGCATTCATTGAATGTGGATGTTTCAAATTTACCTGCTTATATCATTACTTCAGAAATGTAAGGTTCTCAATTCTAGCTGGGACAGTTTTGGCCACGAATCTGGCATATTAACCGGTGATGGTGACTCAGCTACAGACGACGATGAGTGTTCGACACCGAGGCCGTAAGTTCTCAATGACTTTCATTGTGCGGCATCATGAAGCAGACTCTCTAGGCATTAATAATCTTGTTCGTGACAACATATTCTCTTCAACGAAGTCGCAATTTAAAAGCAGTGTTGAATTCCTTTGGCTCTGTAAGCCTTCAACTCCCTCTGCTCCTTAACTGACGTCCTTGTCTAGTGATTTTTCTCTATTGGATCATGAAAGATATTGCAGGCGTCGTCGCATGCGTGGTGGCGCTTTCAACAACGTGAAAATCCCAAAAGTAAGCTTAGTGCTGTTAGACTTTATCATTTCTTTTTTTTTCACTTTATTGTATTTAACTGATGCAGCTTTTCGATTAGGAGCAGTGCGAGTTCCCATTCATCAACGTGTGTGGAACCGCGGAAAAGCGTCGTTATAGCATGACAGAGAAGTCCGACTCTGGTCCAATTGCTAGCCGTCTGCGAAGTAATAATGGTTGGTTAATGGCTTTTCCCTTGCATCGTTCTTGGGTTGAAACCACTATTTCGCTCTTTTGTGTGTCGGTTTGCAGTAGTTTTGACGTGATTGTATCCGTCGTTGTGTTAGTTGAACTCATTGTCCCATCCAGTTTTGCGAATCTCGTCTTTCTGTATGTTTCTGCGTGATTCTTTAGATTTGTCAAGTTCTGTGCTGCCGCTTCGGGTGCAGTTGTTTAATTTTTGCGAATTCTCAAACCTGTGATGTTGATGAAGGTTTTCATTTGCCATGAAATTGCTTCGAACCCGCCGCATCGAACGTACTTTGATTACTTTTAGTTTCGTGGCAACGGAGTTAATTTACATGCGAGGCGAAAAAAACTTCAAAATCACAGGATTAAGTTCAAAAAGAAGGCAATTATCTTGAAATGACACTTAATGAGGCTCAATCACTAACTTTTGTCCATTTAATTTCCTATGTTTGCATGCGTTTCTGCACGTTGTCGTTCAGTAGAGACCATTGCAGACTCTCCAAGAGAGATTATTGTAGCTGCGCGTCGCGCACCTGTCCGACTGCTGATCAACAAACCATATTCGAGCGGAGCTGGAAGCACTGCATCGGTGGAAGACGCTGCATGTGGCAGCAGTGAAATTCCATGCCCAGCTCCAAAAAGAAATCGCTGCAACAGCTGGCGACCATGTCTCGACCTTGAAAAGATGATTAAGGTTTGTCACTTTTTTCTTTGCAATAAACTGCACTGGCAATTTTAATTCATGAATCACCTTATTTTTGAGCACAGGCACAACCCAGTATATTGATCGCTTTTGCCATGTTAAAACGCTTGAGAATTTGCTGGGCGAGCATACTTTTAAAGGGCGATTCGACCCCCGGCTTCTGTCGTACTCCGTTATACGGAGGAAATCTGATAGTGACAGAACTCCTGCAGTGAGGTGATGTGAAGTCGTGATCATACTGTCAGTTTCACCCTCAGCTGTAAATGGACAGTGCTATTGACAAGGGAGGTCCATTTGATCGAAGTGGCCATTTCACATGAAATGGATACCTTCAAATACCATCAAACTCCAATTCCAAATCTATCGTCGTTATCTGCCAAGTGCCTCTGGATGCCGAGTTATGAGCGTTTTTTGGGTCGAAAAGTTGAATGCGTAATTAGAACAAAATTCGTCAGATTTGCTCAAATGTCCAATGTTGATAATCAGAACACTCCCTTTGAAGCTTACCTCTCATTCAAATACTCATACTACTTACTGCTCTTCTTAAGCGCTGAAAAGTCCGTAACAGTTAATTCTATTTGAACTTTCGTTCATTTATCGCTCTTAAAAACATTCACAACTTGGCATGCAGAGGCGCTTGGCAGATAATGAAATCAGATTCCGAATCAGCTTAATGCTTTTCAAAGTGATATATGACTATTTTGCAAAGGTCACTTCGACTAATCGGACCTTCCTTGTGAGTATTAACCTCACTGCGTTTGTCAGCTGTCTGTGAAGTTATCTTATGCGGATGTCGATAACTTTGCAGATGCCTTTCATGCAGTACAAGGAGGGGGGGGGGGGACAGCTGGGTATGCTACAATTTGTGAGGCCGGCCTGCGGGTTTGTCAGGCCTCTCACGCTCCTCATATTTGCAGCCACGTTAATTTTGTCTGCCGATTTTCCCGCTCATGTCGTAGTAAAAGTGTGGACAGCCATAGCTTGCGCAAATCTTGAGCAGAGTCTTGACATGATGATGGACGACATCATACTGTTACCTCACTCACTCGTCGCGGGCAACTGGTATACATTGGATTGTGCGAAATTGCATTTGTACCCGATCTGAGCCCAAACGAAGCCTGTTGGTGGTACAATATCCTCCATCTGACTTCCACAACAGATTCCACCTGTATGCGACAGCAAGGTTTAGGTCAAAACCTCGTAATGGAATCTCCGCTTGCTTGTATAGTTCATTCTGTGTGGAAGAAGTTCATTTCCGCAGTGCTTGTTTTGCACTTCTCTTTTTGTGACGGAAATTGGTGAAGGGGGAGGGGAGAGAACACCTGCACAGGGCATATACACATTTTAAATCCTTCTGTAGTCCATGATAGGTGGAACTTCATTTCGACCTCTTGTCTGTGCCGAGGAAATTGCTGAAGGCGTGGCTTTGTTTGAATGCGAAATGTTCGATGTCTCTTCTTGACAAGCATTTCATTTCATTCAAAAATGTCATTTTGAATCTCATTTTATCGCACGAAAACCTCCTTTGAGAGATAAGGCTTTCGTGAATGAGCACCTGAACCGTAAAAATAGTCGGAATTCTGAAGTTATTCCCTGCTGGTCCCTATTGCCTTTGTAAACGCTAGGGGAATTGAAGATAAGGAAATGGAGAATAAATGGGAATGGGAATGAGGTGGCCTGCGGCCTCAGTCGGAGTCTCATCTGTCGGGTTCCTTGGCCCTTTCTTAAATGCGATACTCAAACTCAGTGCAAACATTCAAAGCATCAATCAATTTCACGCGATTTTTAACAGTATCCGGGGAAAAAGAGGTTGGGATCATACTTCTGCCAATTCGGATCACAATTTTTGCTCCAAGGATAAGCCCTACTATTGGTTGTATAGAAAATGAAAGTGCGGAGTTGGCATCGATTTTAATTTCAGTTGAAATCATGTTGCTTTTGTGTTTGCTATGAGTTCAACATTCAATTTAACAATCTTGTAAAGAATTGCGGTAGGCTTGTGTTAGGATTTTTGCTAAAACCAATAATCTGATAGTGTGAATGCAAGAAAGTGCCTAAATTGGTTCAGTATCATATTTGCAATTAGCATTGCGCTGGCTTTTGTATTTGTCCGTAGCAGTTTTGATTTCGCCTGTCAACGCTGGTGATGTGGGAAGTAAATCCGATCATCAGGCTTTGGATATCTGTCATTATTTTTCAATTTATACATCGTATTCATCATAAAAATTACCTTCCGACTTAGGCCTTTGAACCTCAATTCTTGGCCTTAGCTTTTACAGAGGAAAGGTACTTGGCCAAAGTGAAATTTCCATATGAAATCTACACTGTCTTATAGAGTGTGGAACGCTGATTCCAAATCTGCTTCCGGTATCTGCAAAGCCCTGTGAGAGTTATGGGATTTTCTGTGGCAAAAATTCAAGGATTTGGCTAAGGTGAAAACAGGTGTTGAGGTTTTTCCGGCGCTCCAAAGTGGTAATGACCAGCATAGGTTAATGAGAGACTAAATCTATTTGACTGCATAAAGCGCCCTGGCAGTAATTATGACCCAAATGTGCTCAGGGACTACAGTTTCAAATGATTTCAACGTGGCCGCTCGTTTAAGTTTTTGCTTCAAAAATTCCTAACTGCTTTCCCAGCTTTGCAGATATCGAAAGCAGATTTGAATTCAGCATTTTATGCTCTATAAGACAGTATACAATTTCATATGGGAACACTTCTACCATGTCACTTCCCTTGTTAGACCACCCACTGGGGGCTGGGTTTGACGGCGCATCAATTTTCCAGAGAGTTTTTTGCTCATCAAACGCAGCGTATGGGCGGGATCACGGCTCTGCGCTTGGACCCGTCTACCAGTCTATTTTCAAAAAAAACCCGCGTTTTGTACTCGTAATTTTAGAGTAATTCACGCTTTCCAAGCATGTTTATATAGTGAACATATTGTTGGTGTTTCAGAATCGCATCTCGAGTGAATCGCCACGCAGTGCCACTAACAAGAAAGATGTAAATCACTCAGGACTACATAACTAATTCCGCCTAAACCCGATTCAAAGAGAACTACCTGATTCCACTGTGCTCGATCCTTAATATTCAGGAAGTGTCGCGCTGTCAACATCGACCATTCGATTTCTCGACGCTGGCTTGCTCAATTGCCGCACGTTCCCTTGCATTTCCAATTCCTACATCCTCCTCTCATGAGACAATTCTATCCCGAATCTCTTTCGGCCATCAACTCACATAAGTTCTGGAACGTTGCGCCCACTCTGGCTTCGTCCTCACCCGCTACTCACCATATATAACGCTTTGCGAGGTCAGAGTGCACTGAAAATCCCTCTGGTCGGGATGTCGATTGATCGTAAACGACTACGGAAGACACCAACAGCTTACCTCTTTGTTTTCCCTCCCATTTATTATTTTTTGTCTTGCACCAACCATGTATTGCTCTCCAGTTATGAATTGTTGCCACTTAATCGCTAATGTTCCACTTTTTATGTGGAAGCAGAAAACAGAGAAGAACGATTCGCAGGCGAGCTGGTGCTCTTTGTTTTCTTTGTGCTGTATCGAGAAAAAGAACCAAAACGTTCAAAAACATGATCTTTGCTTATATTTGTATGGTTATTTGTTTATTAGAGAGGTCTCTTAGATTTGTGAAAGCCTCTGCCTCTCGTTTTGTTTGTGTTGTGGAATGAAATAGTTTACATTGCGGTCGAAGCAGGGTTTGCAGTACACACACACATCGCATATGACATTGGACTTTACTTTTGCGCAGAAACGATGAAGTGGGTAGTGGGGACCGTTAGAACATAATCCTGTTTATATGAAGTGTTATTGAATACATAAAATAGTCGTCAGGATTGTCTCCAACAATCTAAACGGGAAGATGTGGGACATCTAAAGGCTTCAGAACTGAAATAAGTTCACATCTCATTTCAGTGATTATTAGTCGTTTTATTCCATTAGAGAAATGGGTTTTGGCATAATGCCTGGCTATCATCAGTTTGACAGCAAATACTAATATAACTTTTGCATATGTTCTTGAATCGTTGCGATGTAAACATCAGATAGCAGCACGAAAATTTATTTTCAAGAAGGCGGAAAAGTGGTTATTGAAAATCAGAAAGCATTACCAGTATTCTCTATGTTGATTGATTTTCCAGCGAAAGTGAAACTCCATGTAATAACTACAAACGATGAATTGCATAGAGCAATGAGTCTGCTATGTTTTGAAGATAACAATACTTTCAAGGGGCACCAAGGAAGCAACCTACTGGTATGTTTAGCCCCACAACTAAAAAAAATGATTAAAACTCATAAAAAATCAGAACTCCTGCGATTTTATGGTCTTTACATAAGTAGACACAAATTTTGTTAATATTTTAGAAAAATGAATTCATTGCCTATTACCAGCCAAGTCCCACGGCTCCTCCATTAACGCAAGTATAGGTTATTTTTCAAATTGAGACGACGATTTGACTGCGGTTTTTGCGCCCTCAGAAGCATAAAACACCCATACAAAAAAGGTATCATTCCAACGCTCAGCTCAGTCAATTCTATTGTCTGAATACTACTATATGTAAACAGAAAAACCATTTGAGAAGAGGAAAAACCATGAAAATGCGGTTGCTGGAAGTGTGTGCGCGTCGCGCGCGGTCGCGATTTTTTGCATGCCCCATAATTATCAAAAGAGGTTAACCTTTGATTCAACTGGCTTGGCATCATTAGGGCGGGGTCTTGTGGCCTAATTGAGGTCGCTCGCGCCCTCGACGCACCTGCGTCTCTCTCGCGCGAGTGCTCTCTGATCATTACCTAGCCTTAATTAGGTCACGAAGCCCCGCCTTCCCGAATGCCAAGCCAGTTGAATCAAATGTTATGTTGAGTTGTTGCCTTCTGTTTTGTTCCCACAAAGGTGTTTTTTGTGCGAACTTTGTGCCAACGGCGAACCGGAAAAGGAAAACCCCTCTTCTCGAAATAGATCGCGAAATTTTCCAAAACAGCTCATAATATAAAATTGTGCAAGTGATGTCTTTACTTGCAGATAGTTAAAGTGATTTCGAGAATCATATAAAAATCACATTAGCTTTATAAAATGCAATTTTGAGCTGCTTTCAAGAGGTTATAGAGCTTTTGAAATAAACTTGAGTATTTTCAAAGGGCATGGCTAACACCACCTGAGTAACTATAATATTTTGAAACTTTTTATTTTATTGGAAATACTTCGCAATTTCCACATCCCATCAGAAAGTGTTTTTGGAATGCGCTTGCTTGTGTTATCAAGAGGGGTTGTGTGTTATTCGCCTATGGGGGGGGGGGGGGGTAGGAGGATCAGTATCTCAAAATCGCTCTCAAATTTTCCTCAAACTCGTGAAATTGAAGATTATTCGAAATTGATGCTCATCGCAAATATATTCATTCCGCAACGCCTTTCTCACTAGATTTTCATGTATGGCGGAAGCAGCAGTCTGAAATTGTTTTCAAAGAGAGGAGATGACAGGGCTCAACAGAATATTCTTTCCGAAGAGGGGAAACTTTGGGTGTTTTAGGTTAGTTAAAAGTCCGAAAAGCAAAAAAATCTTTTTTTGCCTAAGAAGCGACAAGAACAAACTGGGCCGCCCAGCGCATGGTGTTTCGCGGGCGCTCCAACGCGCGAAAACTATAAACGCGGCCCTACGACGTACTCCGGCTTCAAAGGCAATGCCGGTGTTTGATGTCTTTGGCGGCGATCGGCTGCAAGCGCAATATGAAGCCTCAAGGCTCTCGTATGGGACCGGCCATACTATTCCAGGAGGTGATTCCTGCGATATCCTGTAATTCCTGCAATTCCTCGACTTCTGATATGCCGCACTACGGAACGCTTTGCGAATGTCTGTATACAATGTTTTTCGCAATATACATTGTTGTGGGACCCGCAGGAATCACAGGAATCGCAAGACTTGCAGGAATCACAGGAATAGTATGGCCGGTCCCTATGACGCTTCGATGCAATAACGTGAAACTAAAGTGTATAAAGTGCAAGTTGCGGAGGGACCGTAGATTCGCCCGCAGGAACGATTACTTTTGGATTGGAGCAGGAATCCTCCGTAGAGCACCTTACTCTTCCAACGCTGAATCTGAAGATGCGCTTGTCAAATAAGTCAGTGTTGCGTCTTGCAACTCTACTACTGCAACTCTAGTCTCCGTATCAAGCTTGTCGAGCCACTTTCTTTGAAAGCGGCGTCCAGGCAAATCTGGACAAATGGGTATCGCCAGCGGGAACTGATTTTGGGAAACCGCGCAGAGTTACAGCATAAAATGAGTTACTCAAGCTCTAAGTTTCCATTACTATCAGCATCAAGTACAATCTTTGTTAATGCGGTTTGAATTTGTACATGAAAAGTTTGATTTGCCTTTTCCTCTTCTCTTTAGTAAATATCACTTTTTCGATCTGGAATCTGGACAACCGTCTCCTTTCAGCATCACTGAATGCCTTGACTATTGGGGAGTCTGCCTATAAGCCAAATTCTTGCAAAAAAGGTGGCACTAGGAAACTAATTTGTACCAGCTTCTTAACATCGTAGTTTGTCTCTGATTGTGAATGTTGCGCACTGATCAGCGGTTGATCTTCGTCTTCTTGCTGTGACTTCTTGAGAGCGGCCAAGATTTGTTCTTTTGTGCTTTTGTCAAAGTCAAATCGCTGTGTTGAGAAAATTTCAGGTATGAAGGTAAGGAGATAAATAAATATTAACCATGTTGACAGCTTATTGTCGAGGTTGTTATTCTTTTTAATGATATGCACATGCCTAGTTTACAGTGTATGAGCATAAATGGCCTTCGCTCTTGAGAAGTGGTTGTTTTTTCAACTCCGTCAAATTTGCACAGCCCTCTTCAAAAAGATATGAAGGCAAGAGAGTTATTAACGAAATACGGGGCCTATGGGGCAGATAAATATGCCTGATTATCTTCGTAGACTCTATCAAATGAGGGAGCGAGCTTGGTTAATTGCAGCTGATAGTGACAACGCTGAAGATAGTTTAAATTTCAAAAGATTAAATGCCAAATTTACTAGGCTGCTTCGGAAATACAACGCATCTTTTGAGAAAAAGGTAATCAACTCTGGAGATAGATCAGCGTTCTATAAAATGATGAATTCACGGCTTAGAAATAGAAGCAAGCTGGGAGTTCTACGTAAAGACAATGGTGTGGTTATAAGTGATGATAAGGAAAAAGCTGAATTTTTTGCGGATACTTTTGCAAGGACCTTTGCTGAAGAAAAAAACTCTAATGAGCCTCAAAGGGAATTGCCTCCAATCTTCCCAACGATGAGTGACGGGGTTTGGTTTAGAAGTGAAGACATTTATCTGCTTTTGACTAGGTGGCCTAAATCAACTTCTTTTACACCTGACTTTTTGCAATTTGTCGAGACGCAGACTAATTAGATGGTCCGACAGTAGCCCGCTAACTGGGCGGTGCCCAGCAACTCCAGATGAGCTGTGCCTAACCGGGTGACCGGCGGTTTCCCTTCCCCTCTCATTCTACTTATAAATATATAATAAAGATTCTAGTCATAATGTCATGTTCATATAAAGTAAGACAATCAGGGTGAAGGATTCAAGTCAAGAGAGTGCACCTCTTGGACTTGACATGGAGGTCCCGGGTTGTTTTCTTTTTATGACTCACATTTTTCTGAATCAATCACTTTTCGAGAATTTAATTCTCTGAATCAACACTTTATGAATTTAATCAGCATAGATTTTGGCCAAATCTTTTGCAAACTCCCACCGCCGGCACCAGCCCTCATCTCCTACGTTTCCACGTAGTTTTTTCTTTTTTATTCATTTTTTCTCATTTTCTGCTTATTTTTTTGAGTCAGGCGATGAGTCTGAGTTTTGTATTACTTGCTATTCTTAGCATAAAATAATATTTTCTATTTTATTTTCTACCTAACGATATTTTATCTCTTTTTTTTTCTTCCCTAATTCCGCGAGCCGTGATCCCCCGAGCCGTGAATAGCGAACCGTGAATTTTCGACGCTCTCTCTCTAGATCGATTTAATTCTCTAGATTGAGATTCCGCGAGCCGTGAATTCCGCGAGCCGTGATTTCCTAGAGCCGTGATATCCCGGAGCCGTGATTCCGCGAGCCGTGAACAATTGTTTTTTTTTCTTTTTTCATCCAATCGATTTTTATCCGTCTTTATTCCATTGGGAACCCCATATTTTCTTTACCAACGCGTAACAATCTCAGTGACTCTATCGCCACCGCCGGCATTGTATATATGTACATATAAGGTTATGCAAGTGGAAAACGCACTGTGAGCCTAATTTTATCCATAACTCTCACTAGTGGAAAGACCACTGTGAGGGCACTTTTGATCTTAATTCTCACTAGCGGAAAGACCACTTTGAGAATACTTTCCTTTTTTTGGACTTCACTAGTGGAAAGACCACTGTGAATGTCATTTTTTCCCGCTCACTAGTGGAAAGACCACTGTGAGTCCATCTTTTTTTCAATTTCTCACTAGTGGAAAGACCACTGTGTGCCTTACCAAATTCAAAATTAAGTTCTCACTGGTAGAAAAACTACTGTGAGTCCAATTTTGCTGAGGGAGAGTTTCATAATTATTTATTATGATTGTCTGAGGAAAATCGACGGGCTATCTGATAGCTCGCGGTTACTTCCAAAGGCTACGCTCCCAGTCCCTTATTTTTAATGGCTAATCACTCAAAAACGAGTGAC